TACATGTACTTGTAGTAAATAAAGATATTATTATTATTAAGAAGAGGAGTTGTTTGAGGTAATTAGTCCCTCTTTGGAAGAAGACCTACTTTACACTAGTTGATGGTTCCACTGTGATGCCGCCGCCTCCTGCTTCCACTCACTTGTCTACAGGATGTAAGCCACTTCTCCGGCCACGTGCTGTACTTTCTACAACATTGATCGACTGAACACATCGGTTCCAGGCTGAGGGACTGATTACCTCAAACTCCTCTTCTTACCCATTTTTACGTTGTATTAGACTGATGAAGTCACTGTGTGGCGAAACGTTTCTTCAATAAAAATTCCCATATGTTGCATAAGTGTCTCGGTTCTTCATCTTAGCTCCTCTCTTCCCTCTCTTTTCCTCACTTCTAATCTCTCCATCTCCTCTGTCTTCCTAACCTACCCCTCTAAGCCTCAGCTCCTTCTCTCTCTTCCTCACAACTCTCTCTTCCACACAACTCTCTCTCTCTCTCTCTCTCTCTCTCTCTCTCTCTCTCTTCTCACCATCTCTCTCTCTTCCACCACTCTCCCCTCTCTCAATCTCACTAACTTTCTCTCCATTATTCTCGTCTTTTCCTCCTCCTTACCTCCCCCATTCATCTCCACCATCTTTACCTTCACAGTACCTCCTCTCCCCCAGTCCCCCACCCCCCCACCACTGGTCCACCGCCACACTTCTCCACCACTGGTCGACCACCACACCTTTCCGCCACTAGTCCACCACCACACCTCTCTACCACTGGTTCACCACCACACCTTTCCACCACTGGTTCACCACCACAGCTCTCTACCACTAGTTCACCACCACACCTCTCTACAACTGGTTCACCACCACACCTCTCCACCACTGGTCCAACACACACCTCTCCGCCACTAGTCCACCACACCTCTCCACCACTGGTTCACCACCACACCTCTCCGCCACTAGTCCACCACCACACCTCTCTACCACTGGTTCACCACCACACCTCTCTACCACTGGTCCACCACCACACCTCTCCGCCACTAGTCCACCACACCTCTCCACCACTGGTCCATCACCACATCTCTCTACCACTGGTTCACCACACCTCTCCACCACTGGTCCACCACACCTCTCCACTACTAGTCCACCACCACACCTCTCCACCACTAGTCCACCCACACCTCTCCACCACCACACCTCTCTACCACTGGTCCACCACCACACCTCTCTACCACTGGTCCAACACCACACCTCTCCACTACTGGTCCAACACCACACCTCTCCACTACTGGTCCACCACCACACCTCTCCACCGCTGGTCCAACACCACACCTCTCCCCTCCCCTACGCAACAATTAAAATGCACCTGACAGACGTAACAAGTCCTGCAGTGAGGGTGAAGTGTCTGGTGTGTCACTCTGCCTGCTGTCTGCTTGGTCGTGTATGAGGTGTGTTTCTCTGTATGCTGTCTACCTGGTCATGTATGAGGTGTGGTTTCTCTGCCTGCTGTCTACCTGGTCATTTATGAGGTGTGTCACCCTGCCTGCTGTCTACCTGGTCATTTATGAGGTGTGTCACCCTGCCTGCTGTCTACCTGGTCATGTATGAGGTGTGTCACTACCTGCTGTCTACCTGGTCATGTATGAGGTGTGTTTCTCTGCCTGCTGTCTACTTGGTGATGTATGAGGTGTGTTTCTCTGCCTGCTGCCTACTTGGTCATGTATGAGGTGTGTTTCTGTGCCTGTTGTCTACCTGGTCATTTATGAGGTGTGTTTCTCTGCCTGCTGTCTACCTGGACATGTATGGTGTGTTTCTCTGCCTGCTGTCTACCTGGTCATCTATGAGGTGTATTTCTCTGCCTGCTGTCTACCTGGTCATTTATGAGGTTTGTTTCTCTGCCTGCTGTCTACTTGGTCATGTATGAGGTGTGTTTGTCTGCCTGCTGTCGACCTGGTCATGTATGAGGTGTGTCACTCTGCCTGCTGTCTACCTGGTCATGTATGAGGTGCGTCATTCTGCCTGCTGTCTACCTGGTCATGTATGAGGTGTGTCACTCTGCCTGCTGTCTACCTGGTCATGTATGAGGTGTGTCATTCTGCCTGCTGTCTACCTGGTCATGTATGAGGTGCGTCATTCTGCCTGCTGTCTACCTGGTCTTGTATGAGGTGTGTCATTGTGCCTGCTGTCTACCTGGTCACGTATGAGGTGTGTTTCTCTGCTTGCTGTCTACTTGGTCATGTATGAGGTGTATTTCTCTGCCTGCTGTCTACCTGGTCATTTATGCGGTGTGTTTCTGTGCCTGCTGTCTACCTTGTCATTTATGAGGTGTGTTTCTCTGCCTGCTGTCTACCTGGTCATTTATGCGGTGTGTTTCTGTGCCTGCTGTCTATCTGGTCATTTATGAGGTCTGTCACCCTGCCTGCTGTCTACATGCTCATTTATGAGGTCTGTCACCCTGCCTGCTGTCTACCTGGTCATTTGTGAGGTGTGTCACCCTGCCTGCTGTCTACCTGGTCATGAATGAGGTGTGTCACTCTGCCTACTGTCTACCTGGTCATGTATGAGGTGTGTCACTCTGCCTACTGTCTACCTGGTCATGTATGAGGTGTGTCATTCTGCCTGCTGTCTACCTGGTCATGTATGAGGTGTCACTCTGCCTACTGTCTACCTGGTCATGTATGAGGTGTGTCATTCTGCCTGCTGTCTACCTGGTCATGTATGATGTGTCACTCTGCCTCTGTCTACCTGGTCATGTATGAGGTGTGTCACTCTCCACGCTAACCTGTCATGTACAGTGTGTCACTCTGTCTACTGTCTACCTGGTCATGTATGAGGTGTGTCACTCTGCCTACTGTCTACCTGATCATGTATGTGGTGTGTCACTCTGCCTGCTGTCTACCTGGTCATGTATGAGGTATGTTATTCTGCCTGCTGTCTACCTTGTCATGTATGAGGTGTGTCACTCTGCCTACTGTCTACCTGGTCATGTGTGAGATGTGTCACCCTGCCTGCTGTCTACCTGGTCGTAGTTGCAGTAGTCATGGCCCCCGCGGCTTGCTCTCACTATAAGTCAGGCTGCGAGTGCCAGCTGCACACATGCCAACATAAGCTGGACGAACATGTCTAGTTCCTTCTTGAAGACTCTGTGATTTGTTGGACCTTATATGATTGAGTTATTCCTTAGTGGATAATTAAGTTATTACTGCTATTTACTGGATACTTTTCGCCGTCTGGTGAGCCTTGAGCGCTCTCAGGAATTAACTCTACTGTCTTGATTAGGAATCAACCTTTGCAGTATTTTCCAGGTGTAGATTTTAGTAGAACTTTCTAGCGTACTCTCGCGAGAGTAGTTTGAGAGAGTTTAGGTATACCGAATATATTTAGCGGTGAACGTTCTCATTACATACTCCAGGTCTTCAGTATTCTAATTTAGAGAGACAAGTGACTTAAAAGAATATCATCATTATCAGTGTGTTACAGCGAGGAACAATTTTTAGAATTATCCTGCCATAGTATACCAGAGAGTCGACCTATCGATGCCTTCCTGACATCTAGTCTGTCTTCATTGAAACGTACAGATTAAAAACAAATTGTGGATGAAGCGCTAATAGTTCCCTGAGGTAACAAAAGAAGGCACAATACCGTGACTGGAACGATACACAAATAACCCGCACATAAAAGAGAGAAGCTTACGACGACGTTTCGGTCCGACTTGGACCATTTACAAAGTCACACTGTCAGTGTGACTTTGTAAATGTGCGGGTTATTTGTGTATAGTTCCGTGAGGTAACCGTATGCTTCTTTGTAAAGTTGAAAAATTTTAATTTACACACGTTACCATGAGGACTCAGGCTACATGCCTGGAAGGTATCAAAATCTTATTTTTCTGACTCACGAAATCATAATGATACGATTGCAAGAAAACCATACCACGGGCGGGGATTGAACTCGTGGCGAGTGGGTCGTAAAACTCCAGTTTTGCTGGAGTTTTACGACTCACTCGCCACGAAATAAATCCCCGCCCGTGGTATAGCTTATTTTTCTGGTGTAATCTCTTAGATAATTTAGTTTAAAAATTATTCTTCAACGTAACACTTTGTATCTCTTAATTTAAATGTTCTTATATAGATTATTTTATTGGTGACAGTTGTGATAGTGATATTGTGCTTCATGATATCTTCCAGCATCATGTCATCTCTATAGAGTGGTTTCATTACATAGTCTCTTCCTGTGTTCATTTCTTATTTTTTTTTGTATGTGGCAATTATTAACATCATGGATTGCATCAGTTTGCTGTGTCCTTGATTAATGTCGCATTATAAAAATTATGGCATTGTTTGTGAATAATTTTACAGTGTTATTATATGTATGTTTCTAATGACAGAAAGAGACAGCAAATACTGTGCCTTGTTGAACAGTGTTGTAATTACTCCAGTCTTCCTTTAGTTGTCTTAAACTTATCTCCAAACAAAATGTTTGGGGCCGATATATAAGCATTGGAAAGCAGTGTTTGGGTATCACCAGTGAGTCTGTAGACTGCGCAAATTTGTCTTATGGTTTGTATTTAAGAACAATAAACAAAGTTAGGTTTTAAAGTTTCACTGCCACCACTTGGACCGCAATGTTTGTGGTACTAAGTAACTGTGGGCAGTTGAGTATAACTTACAGACTGATCCTATTTTGGGCTCTGCTAGACTATCGTGCTGGGTATAAACACTGAGCGGTGTAGATATCTAAAGATGTATATACCCATTGTATTTATATTGAGAGTTTACATTAATCTACATTCATAAGGATTTTTAGTCCCTATTTTAATTCTTATAAGGATTAAAGTGTTCTTGATGACAGTGTAAAGGTGACTTGCACTCTTAGTTACACACGTGTAATGATAGATTTTAAACTTAGAAATTTGTATCAACTGTTGATTATATCTTAAGAAATAAATGAGGTGAGTAGGAATCCCTTCACTGAAGCTGCTAGACGTGCTAACGAGTCTTTGTTGCTATTTCAGGATGGTGCTGATAGTGGGAGAACACTTGGTGAAGGAGGTGCCCTCCTCCACCACGGGGATATACACATCTTGGCCGCGGCTTAAGGAGACCTCCCACGCCCTCACTACCATGCAGAGGGAGGAGGTGGGTCCACGGGGACTCCTGTACCTCCGCCAGAGGGAATACGCCGTCACTGTACCTCACGATGAGAACCTTCTCATCTTGGGCACGGACGATGCCACCACCTCCGTCATAGCCGTCCTCAGACACACAGGTGAGTAAACAACACGTCTGTAACTGTTTTTCGCGTCTCTTCATGTCTTGAGATACTGGATGAAGTCCAGGATGGTCGAAACATTGTAATGAAAGTTTCACCGAAACTTGGTGTCTTTCTCACTACTTATCGACTTAGGTCATCGTTCATTCTTTAGCTATTCAAGGTATAGGCGATTTTCAGCTTAATATCTGTTGACATCTGATAATGACATGTCAGGTTTTTGTTGTTGCATATGTTCAGCAGTTCTTGTGTCTAGCTTTACTCTGTTCGCTCACTGGTCAATGTTTTAGCCTGAAAATAACTGAATTTAATATGAATTTAGCATGATGTGAAGTCAGAGAATTTCCAGATGAGGCGATTGTTGTTACGTGTAGGTAAGATGTCACTGAGATGAAGAACGATTGATTAATAAGAGACAACCGACATTAGTTCAGGGAATGCAAATCTGTTGATTAACATTTGAGTATCTTTACTGTGGAAACGTTTCATCAACCAGTGGCTTCCTCAGTCCAATACAGAGAAGAATGGTTGGAGATCCGAAGGAGTTTGAGGTAATCAGTCCCTCAGCCTGGGGTCGATGTGATCGAGATTAATGAACTGATCATATCAACTCCAAGCTGAGGGACTAATTATCTCAAATTTCTTCGGATCTTCAACCACTCTTTTCTGCACTGGAATGAGGAAACCACTGGTTGACGAAACGTTTCCACGATAAAGTTACCCAAGTGTTGCACAGGTGTCTTAATTTATTAAATTGTCGGTTCTCTGAACCATTTAATTACACTGCAAATCTTCTTTCGTCAGTCTCCTGGAGTTGTATGAGAGAATAACGGAAATAAAGTAAGAGCGAGAAAGGTGGGTAGAATTTACCCTTTGCGTCTGTAAGAAAGCATATAATATTAGTTTAACTATTGGCACGAATGTTGAAGGTGGCTCCCTAGCATCCCGGCAGCTACAACACCTATGACACTGATAGCGTGCCCATGCACTCTACCCCATACCCAGGCTTCTTGTACTCCATATTCGTCAAAAACTGAGAAACAGTATCAGAGGATTAATCCAAAAGTCGCTTTAATCCGCATAGGTAGTGCATTCCAGTGAAGCTTCTGGCATATATACAATTATGGCTGTCTCCCTGTGTATAACTTAGATGTGCCCCTTTAAATGGACTCATTTTCTAAAGGTGTGAAAATTCCTAAGAAATTACCAGTGATATTTATAACACTGACAATATAGTTATTATATATGCACAGTTATTTATATATCATAGCGTAGTCTGACCGAATTTTTGAAAATTGCCATGTCACGTTCGTTAGGCTACTATTACAGTATCAGTGCTTGCGGGCTGGTTGTTTTTCTGATGTTATAATATTCAGTCTTTCTGGCTATGTGTATTAGTATGTCTGGGGGCACTTCCTGCCTCCCGCCTCTCTGCCTCACTCGTATTTCCTTGGACCACCTCTTCTGCAACATTGCAAGCTCCTGATATGTTGATTGCAAACTGAACGGCCTAGAGCTATCATTCTACTCCCCCGTGGTTGTTTTGCATATATATATATATATAAAATATATATATATATATATATATATATATATTATATATATATATATATATATATATATATATATTATATATATATATATGTCGTGCCGAATAGGCAGAACTTGCCATCTTGGCTTAAATAGCAACGCTCATCTTGCTATATAGGACAAGTGAAATTTTTTGTATGCAATAATTTCGCCAAAATCATTCTGAATCTAACGAAAAAAATATGTTTCACTGTGTTTGTTTAGTATTAAATTATTGTAAACAAATCTAAAATATATTTAGTTGGGTTAGGCTAAAATAAATTGTTCTTGTTGTAATAAGGTTAGGTAAGTTTTCTAAGATTCTTTTGGAGCAAAATTAAAAAATTTTACATTAACATTAATGAAAAAAATATATCTTTAAAGGTATAAGAGAAAATTTTAGAAAGGACTTAATTTTAAATGAGTTCTTGCTAATTGACCAGTTTTACATATTCGGCACGACATACATATATATATATATATATATATATATATATATATATATATATATATATATATATATATATATATATATATATATATATATATATGCAAAACAACCACTCGGAAAGAATAGAGAAATTCCAAGCGCTTTCGTGACTACTCACATTATCAAGGAACTAAGCGCTTGGAATTTCTCTATTCTTTCAGAGTGGTTATTTTGCATATTCTGAAATCACCTGTTTACTGTGATCTTATTGCATATATATATATATATATATATATATATATATATATATATATATATATATATATATATATATATATATATATATATATATATATATTATCCAATTCTGGGGCAATATATAGGGTTCCATAGCCTCGGAGAAGTAGGTAAAATATCTTCGAGGAGAGAGCATGGGAATAAAAAATTAACATTTTTTTTTTACATGAAAAGAGAAAGGAACAGACCCCCCAAAAAGGGACAGTCAAGGAAGTACAACGGGTGGTATAGAGGTGCACAACAGTGGGACAAATCATGTCAGTCATACACTCAACAGGGTTGAATGTACAACACACAAGTGTACATTCATTACTGGAGAAAGCAGGGGTGTGTACACTAGGTACCATACGAGGAAGTACATCATTAGTGGTACTAACAAAGTATACACCAGACCAAAATACCTCAAATGGTAAATCCTTCTTCATTTTTGCAAACATTCAGGGGTTGAAATCAGATATAAATAACAAAGTTATTTATATCTGACATTTAAAGCGAATGTCATGCTTGGAACATTTACAGAAACACAATTTAGGGATGTTTTGAGTGGTGAGATAACGATAAAAAATAACTATGCAATGTATAGATGTGACAGAATTAATAGTTCACAGAGAGGAGTAGGACTATGTGAAAGATACTTTTTGTTGTTCGGAATTCCTGAATTTATAGTATTATTGTTATTATTATTATTATTATTATTATTATTATTATTATTATTATTATTATTATTATTAGTATAAAAAAGAAGCGCTAAACCATGAATTCATAGTAGATATTCTAGGTATTAAAGTTGAAAATAGGAATCTAGTAATTACCCTCGTAAACAAGTCATTATTAACAACGGCTGAGGAATTCACAGATCAGATAAGGAAGACAGATAACTGTCTAGAAAGGCTGAAATATCCCACACCAAATATTATCTTTGTTGGGGATTTCAACCTCCCAAATATAAAGTGGAAGATGGTTCAACACAACGTTATACCAGAAATAGTTCCTAGAAGCACCCTGGCTAACAGGTACATACCAGGGAACTAAAGAGGCTTTGTTAAAAGTTTTCGTAGAACCAACAGATAAACGATCATGTACGAGAAGGGATGTTAAGTAAATATAACTTCAGCAACTATAATTATTACTGGCTGGGGCAAAATTAACCGAGAACTGTCAGATATATCCTTGGAAATAGTCTTGAGAACCCTAAGTTAAAGAATTGAGAAACTTGTGCAACATATGGGAATCTTTTTGAAGGCTCTCCTTATCTATCCTATTATTTTCCTTGTTTTCCATAAAGGAATAGTTGGAATTTGTCCTCATCAAGCATCATATTGTTTTGTGCGGCACATTGGAAAACTTTGTTTATATCTACTTTTATGTATATTCTAGTATGTTATGAAAGGCAGGAGCGATCTGCTGTGAGCCCATGCTGTCTTGGGTTGTGCAACTGTTGGGAATCCTAGTGGTTGGCGATCTGGCTTCTTAGAACCCTTTCAAAGACTTTTATGATGCCTGACGTTAGAACTATAGGTCTTTAATTCTTTGCTATTACTTTGCTGCCACCTTTGTGGAGTGGGGTTGAATCCGTTGTTTTTAGTGACTATGGAATGACTCCTGTGTCAAGGCTACCTCTTCATAGCATAAATTAGGCGACACGCAGTAGGGGTTTCCTGCAATTCTATAACTCTGGGCCTACGTCATTGTGCGTGGGCATATTGTTGTTAATGGTTGTTGTGAGTGAAAGGTGGTGGTTGTGTGTGCGTGTGGGGGGGGGGGGTGTAGTGGTAGTAGGGATGGTGATGGTACTTGTGGGTGGTGGTGGTTGTGGTGGGGGGAGGATAACACCGTCGAGGAGGTAGAGTGAAGTAGCACCAAAACAGGAGGCGGGTTGCCCGACCACTTAGTGCTGAGGCAGACTCCTGTTTAACTCCTGATGAATCATGTTTACTCTGTTCTCCTCGCCATTTCTCTCTCTCTTTGGTGCTTTTGGTGCTGCTGTTGGTGTTACCGTTGTTACTTCTGTTGTTGGTACTGGTGTTGGTGCTGCTGTAGGTGTTACCGTTGTTATTTCTGTTGTTGGTACTGGTGTTGGTGCTGCTGTTGGTGTTACCGTTGTTACTTCTGTTGTTGGTACTGGTGTTGGTGCTGCTGTAGGTGTTACCGTTGTTACTTCTGTTGTTGGTACTTGTCTTGGTGCTGCTGTAGGTGTTACCGTTGTTACTTCTGTTGTTGGTACTGGTTTTGGTGCTGCTGTTGGTGTTACCGTTGTTACTTCTGTTGTTGGTACTGGTGTTGGTGCTGCTGTAGGTGTTACCGTTGTTACTGCTGCTAGTGCTGGTGTTGGTTCTGCTATCGCTGCTGCTGTTGTTAGTGCTGTTATTCCTATTGGTGGTCTGTTGTTGGCACTGGTGTTGATACTAGTGCTGGTGATGGTACTGGTAGGGTACTTGTGTTGATACTGGTGTTGGTACTGTTGCTAGTATTGATACTGGTGTTGGTACTGGTGTTGATACTAGTGCTGGTAATGGCACTGGTGTTGGTACTGGTGTTGATACTGGTGCTGGTGATGGTACTGGTGTTGGTACTGTTGCTGGTACTGTTGCTGTTTTTGGTACTGGTGTTGGTACTGTTGCTAATATTGGTACTGTTGCTGGTATTGATACTGGTGTTGGTGTTGCTGGTGTTGGTACTGTTGCTGGTGTTGGTACTGCTG